TCTTTTAGCTGGTGACCCAACCTATTGGGTCACCAATAAGAATAGTCTTTAACATAAAGGGAATGATGGGACTAGTGGGGAAAATTAAAGTAATACTTACTAATCACTATGTTTGAAATTTTTGATATCAAACCATTATACAAGGCCCGGCAATGAATCTCTTTGATAGATGGAAGTTGAGAGATAAGCTGGACAACAAGCGGAGGAGTCGACAACATGAGTTTTTTCTCGAGGTTGACGAGAAAGATACCGCTCGAGCAGCCCCTTAGAAAATAGGTTGAAGCTGACCCAAAAAAAAAACATGAAAAATGCGCGATGCAGGTCACGATATGACCTTGAGTTACGACCATTTATTAATTTGAAGTACGACACTTGTTCAGTTCATATAGAACAAGTTAACAAATAATTTATATTAAAAAATAAAAATAACAAAATTCGTATTTTTTCATTCTTTATAAATGAATATTACATTTGATATATTTTTGAAATACAATTGCAATTTCTCTATTTTTTTAAGGTCATGTGACTCCAAAAATGACTTGGTCAAGCACATATAGAAAAAAATTGTAATGATAATTGCTTTGTAATTTTATTTTTTTGGAATTTTATCATAAAATATTATTTTTTTTAATTATTATGTCTTTAATTATAAATTTTTTAATTAATTTGTCACAATTAAAACAATAAAAATCAATTGTAAATAATATTTAATAAATGAATAAAAATAAAAAAAAATATTTTGTGTAGGTGGAAGAGACTTGGTTTGGATCGGGACTAGAGCTGCAAACGAACCGAGCTACTCGCGAGCGCTCGAGTCAAAGCTCGACTCGAGCTCGAGCGGCTCGAGCACGAACTCGAGCCTATATTTTGCTTTGTCGAGCGGCTCGTCGAGCGGCTCGAGATATATATAAATTACTAAAATACCCCTTTATATATATTAGCATAGGTCCTTAATGGCAATTTTACATTTCTATTTAAAAATTTTCGAGCCGAGCTCGAGCATTTTGATTTCGAGTCGAGCTCGAGCTATTGTAAATTTTTATCGAGTCGAGCTCGAGCCTAAAAAATCGAGCTCGACAAGCTCGAACAGCTTAAAAAAAATTAATCCTGCTCAATAAAGCTAATGCTCGACTCGGCTAGTTTGCAACCCTAATTTCGGGACAAACATGGTCCAAGAGGCAGCAAACTAGGCGACCTTCAATACAAATCCAAACCCCAAGTCGGCAAACCCTAGACTAATCCGCAGCCCCCAGACCCTAACCTACACGGCAACTCGACGAGGAGGGCGGAGGAGCTGCGGCATCTTCCATCTGCCGGGCGGCGAGGCGGTGACATTCCGGCGGTAACTTCGCCCAGGGTATGGTAGAGACTTAAGTGAAGGCTTTAGATATAAAAGTATATTAATGGCTAATTCCTGGCTTTTTTATTTTTTTTGGTGCTTGATTCCCTCATTTCCTTAGCATGTACACTCCGCACACAACACACACAGAGGGTTGCAAAACATGTTATATTGTTACGCAGATGTGATATACTGGTGTATTGGTGGTTTGATTTCAGTTCATTGATTTTTTTTTTTTAATATTTCGGGCCGGGCTGCCCTTTTATAGGCCCGCCTCAACCCATTTTGACATTTCTAATTGGCTGTTACTGTAATTGTACCAAAGGTTGACGATGAGCTCAGAAAAGGACGAGGACATCACGCCCCGCCAACGACTATCGTGCTCCAAATATTTTGATGCGCTGTGGTTTTGCTACTGTATGCCCCTTCATTTTCTCCCCCATTTAATAGTGATTATATCATCTTGTTTTTTTGGCTCCCTACACCAACTGCAACTTCATCGATTTGTATTGATTTGAACTCCATGAAATCACGCATCTAACATTCTTAATGTATTAACTAGTTATGTTCCTTATTAATTTCCTTGGTATCAGAAATGCATTTTGTTCCTTCTTGACTAGGTTGGTGCTTGGCAAACAGGTTACTGGTTAGAGGCATTCGTGAATTTCACTCTTAATATGAATATTTGATGATGATAAAGCATAATGTAGGCTTTTATTGGAATTATTCTTGGTTTGTTTTAGATAACTTGATTTACTCGTGAACACGCATACCACATGTTTGATATTATGTTCTGTCGAACATATACTGTTGGTTAGTGATTAAAAGTCGACGGGTTTTGATTGTGTGGCAGCTCCAGTCCACCAGATGCAGCAGTACTACCGTCTTGGTTCCCTTGACAATTGCTCCGGAAAATGGGGTGCCCTTTACGATTGTTTAAACCTCAAAACCAAAAGAGCTTCCGAAGTTGAGGTGTGTTTATCAAACGTACTTGGTCACTATATTTCATATATTACCATTGTCTCGCATTTGTGGTTTTTGCAATAAATTATGTTGTAGAATGTGTGCTTTTTTTTTTCTTAGGTACTAGTTGTGCGTTTTTTTCGATCAAATATGTGTGATATTTTGTACAAGTGGGTCTAGTTTTTAGTTATAGCAGTAGTAAGGCGTGTAGAATTAACCTACAAGACAACATGTCTAGATAGCGAAATACCGACAACCATTTTCTCCATTATAATGAGTTTATTAACTGAAAGGAAATTTCATGTTGATATTATCAGATTGTTAACTTGATTGGTTATAATCTTGCAGCATAATGGATTTTTAATCATTGACTCTTCTTTTTTAATCTGATGGTGGATTTCAATCCCACCTAAAATGGATATTTGGAGTTATTAGCAACCCTTTCCACGAATCATTCACTCGAACACATCACTATATCCAATTTGGAGTTATTAGGAATCCTTTCCACGAATCACTCACTCGAACACATCATTAAATCCAAATGCAACCTTAGATTACATGTAATTCCTGGAATTGTTACATATTTTTAAGCTTCGTATCAAGAGAGAGAAGAAACGAGAAGGGGATGATTACCGATGCTTTTGCTAGCTGAGTTTACATGTAACTCTATATTTTGGTATAAGTAAAATGGCCAATTGTTTGATCACTGGAACAATGATGGCATAAGTTTGAGTATTGTTTTCCATGGCTAAAACATTGCTTACTGAGTTTAATTATCCGACTTTAGAAGCCTTCTTCTCTTATCATTTATATTTTTCTCTTTTCTCAAATCATGTATAAAAAAGAAATTGGCCCGTGAAGCTGTTACTTGAGTGTGTTTCTAAGGACAATCTCGGTCTGTAATCAAATTTTCACAAAGTTTGAGGCTGTTACTTGAATGCCATATATATTCAATCAACAAGCCGTTAAAATCCACTAAGTGGGTCGGCTATATGGATAACATGTCGCCATGGTGCTCGATCAAAGCACATATCCTCATTCAAATTTAAATATATATATGGATCACATGAATGCCATATATATTACGGAAACTTTTTTTTTTTTTTTTTTTNTTTTTACCAACTTGAACTTTTCTTGCATTTTGGGTTTGCAACCTAATCTTGACATTTTTTCCTTCATTTTGGGTTTGCAACGTAATCTTGACATTTTGATAAGTCTCAACCTAAACTAGCCGGAGCAACCTTGACCCATCAGAAAAACAAAAATCAGCCGAAAACCCTTCAAAATGACTGCAGGTGGTGTTCTTAATGGCACTTTGGTCATTTCGCATGAAAAATAGTGGGATAAATTGATATTCGCATGTACCTTGACTATTTCAAGCTCGACATTTCTTCTTTTTTTTAAGGAGTTTTTAGAATAATGTTTGAGTGCTATCTAGTCATCAGGAGACTTAATATATTTGTTGAGGACTGCTCCATGATGATGGTAGAGGTATGGCTGATGCTCTTCAGTCTTGATGATGATAGAGGTGTGGCCGATGCTCTTTAGTCTTAAATAAAGCCTGTGTTCTTGATATGTGCACTGGTTTAACCGTAGCAAACAGCCTTCTTATACATCTTGAATACTCTCTAAGGTTTGTTATTTCTTTTTAATAATTCTGCCTTCTTATATATCTAAAATACTCTCTAGGGTTTGTCATTTATTTTCATTAATTCTGCATGGCGCATGCCATGTTTCTTGGAATAGCTTCCCATTAAATATGGGGTTCGTGTCACCAATTTATCAATCAGGATCTTGAAAAGAAATAAAGAAAATGATTTTGTAGTGGCTAGCTTTGGAGTTTTAATGTTTGTATTTAATTATTCATCAAAATACCATGTATACTTTTTTTTTTTCACTTGGTCTGTTTAAAATATATATATTTTAAAATTTTCTCATCGGTCAAAGCAAAGTACTATGTGAGGTTTGATTCACTTGGAGAGGATTCTAACTGGTGTCCCCCGTTTGAACAGCGGATACTTTCCATTTTTATTGGCTTTCATTGAACATCTAACTCGAAGAAACGCTTTTTCTCCACAACAAACTCAACACTTTGCCTCCACTCTATTTGGGGTGTGGAGAAAAGAAATGAGAGCTTGAGAAAACAACGGCCATGTGTATTTCTATTTATTCAACTGTTTTTTTCATGCGAAATGACAAAAAGTGCCATTAAGAATACCACCTGCAGCCATTTGGAAGGGTATTTCGTCTGATTTCTGTTTTTACGATTGGAATGCAAGAAAAGTTTAGGTTGGTATAGTTTTTTTCCCTATATATTAAATTTATGCTGGTAGTGGATCCCCGACTAGTCTCATAACCTTAATACTTGCGAGGAATGAGGGACGACCAGGAGTTTCTATATATTGCCTTTTGGTATTGATTTGAAAAAGTTGTTTTTTTTCCCCTCCTACAAATGTAGGAAATTTTGAAGACTCGTGAGAAATCTGTTCCTCATATATGGTCTTTTCGGTCCCCAAAGGAGGCGAGATACCATTGGCAGAAACTCTTCGGGCATCTGGATGACCAGGAATAATAGTTTATGCTCTTACAGATTTATTTTATCTTCATAAATAATAACATTGTACCGAAATTTCCTTTTGGAAGTGATACTTTTGTGTTATTCTGCTTGAGACCATAGTAAAATAGTAATTCTTACTAGAGTTGTGATTAATTTTTAAGCTATTAGTTATGTACCCTATATATATAGAATGAGTTTTTAGGAGAATGGGTTTTTAGGAGGTCATATTATATTAGTAGTTTTGCTACTTATTTTTACATTGGTTTTTAGCATAGTATGAAATGGATTTGAGCCTTAAGGACACAAAAATAATAAAGTGTGAAAATGAAAAGCTAAAACATTATATCTTTTTATATATATTTATGTTTTCTACTATAGTAGCCCTGGTAGGATCACCCATGGCCATGACTTGAGAGTAAACAAAATTTTCATGTTCTTACATTTCATATTTTGACCAGAATTGAACAGAACATTAATTGGGAGCACACCCTACCATGTACACAAATTTACTTCAATCAATGCTAAAACCTTTATGCAGGTAAAATTATACAAATACTTCAAATTTCAGTGGAGAACATAAAAATTGATACCTTTATTGCAGGTAAAAATGATGAGTGTGCAGCTAATTGCAGGTATGCCTCTATATGCATCTAATGCTGGAAATTCTAAATAGGTGCACCCAATTAATGCATCATTGCGAGACATGAATGCTTGACCAGTTGGTTCTGGTTGAACTTGATATGCTTTCATGTTAGATAGTTTTTTTTTTGTTAGGTTGGCTTAAGCATTAGATCAAAATACTATTTTATAAATGTGTATGTAGGGCTATTAACGAACTAAATGTTCTCGAACAAAAACTTGTTGGAGTTCATTTGTGTTCAACAAGAGCTCGTTCATTTGTTGATCGAGCCAAGTTCTAACAGGAAATTAGGCTCGTTTAACGATCAAACGAATTCTAGCTCGTTTGATAGTGTTCGCGAATATTAATTTAATATAATTTATTTTATTTTTATGTATTTATATGATGTTTTTAATAAAAAATTAAAATATAAAAATACTTTTATTTTATTTTTTATTTTTTTTAGCTCCAACGAGTTCGAATGAACAAATTTTGAGTTAATTAAACAATTTTAAAAAGTTTGTTTTCTAAAATTTTCAACTAAGAACGAGCTCGAACTTTAACGAAGAATTAAATGAATAAGCTCGAAAAATGTTCGAACATAAACGAACACGAGTTCAAAATGCCCAAGCTCGACTCGTTCAGTTCGATTACAATACGATGTGTATAAATGTCATTCAATCACTATTTAGAAAACAACATACTTAAACATACGTGTGACATCTCATAGTATATGTATATATTTTTATGAACAGTATGACTAGTCAACTCGCTCAACGGTTAGGTGTCTCACATAATAATTTGTATTCGTTGAACATTGGCAATGTTCAACAAGAATTCTTGTATCTAGAAAAAAAAAGAAAATTAGCATGACTTATAGCAAAAGAACTAGTTATATTACAAATAAAAGAAATAAAAATAATTTGGACGATAATTCCTACAACAATCATTGTTAAAAAAAACATGTGTTTTACAACATATGGATCATTGCAATTAATAAAGATGTTACAAATTAATTTTTTTTTTCACATATTTGTCCTGGATGACATCGTAAAAAAGAACTGCAACAATTTTTTTTGCAACATGTGTTTCAAAATATTTTTTTTTTCTTTTTAACTCACCAAGAGATCGATTTTTCAAGCAGTGCACTTATTATTCATGCTAATCTATGCATGACATTATTCCACATTCAAACTTTTTTTATTCAGGGTAACTTAAATGTCCATTCTCCCGAAGTATATGCCTAAACTTAGTTAGTTTAATTAATCTCAACAGTTATTTATCCCAACTTGTTGAGATCCAAATCTCACTAGCTACTCCGCCTCCTTTCATTCCTCCACACCGCCAACCCACAACACGAACATGAGAGAACATCTATCTACTATATAATTAGGCAATTCACTTGCCATTTTTAGAAAGTTTTATGTGAGTCCTACAATATTCTTACTATTTTTAGAAAGTCTTCACATTGTTTGATACGTGTTCATATTTATATTAATATTAACTACCTCAACTAATATTTATTTAGTTTACCTATAACCAACAAAGATCCATTACTTAATAATTTTACTTGTGTTCATCAATTGTGACTCATTTTTTTAATACAAACGATTAAAAGTGCGGACTTGACAGATATTTTTATAAAATTTTATTTTATTTTTTATTAAAGATTTTAGTTTAAATTATTTATCTAATTTCATAATTTATAATTTACAAATTAACATAAATATAAGTGTTCGTATGTTTCTTGCTGAATTTTATAAATTTTTTATCTTATATTTTGTACATAAAAATAAAATCTAATAGTAGTTAAATTAAATATAAATATATTGAAAACATGCGCAATGAATAACACTCAAACATTCTTCATAATAAATAAATAAAAAATAACATCATGTTTGTAGAATATTTTTTTATTCATTTTCCACAACAAGTTGAAAGTCCAAAACATTTGATCATGATTAAATTAATCCACTAAACAAATAGTATTACATATATATTCTATGTAATAAATATTAAATTACATAATATAAAGAGTATTTCGTACATACCTTTTGTATTTATTAGTAATGTCGCGATAACATAAAATTATGATTTAAGTGTTAAAGGGGAGGTGTTTAATTATTTTAGACTTATAACTTTATGTATGCTCATAAAATATTTTGGTTTTAATACGTAGATAAGTTAAACATACTTAACAATACTAAACGATGTCCAAAACAAAATACGATCATAAGATTTTTTTTTTTTTAAATAAATAAAGCCACCGCAGTAATATATGGTTAAAAATACACACGTAATCCATTTACCATGAGTCAGTTTGGAAGTTAAAGTTATATCGAAGTTAAACACACATATACGATTTGGAAGTTATATGGTTAGTGGTTGAATAGTTAACTTGCACGTCAATATTTTTATATTTATGTAAGATATATTATTGTATTCAATAAATACGCAATTGATTATTCATTTATGTACCATAACATTCACATCTCTTCCACATCTTATTCAAACAATTGCTTAAACACTGAGATATAAAAAACAGAATACATAATATAAAGATTATTTCGTAAATACCTTTTGTATTTATTAGTAATATCGCGATAACATAAAATTATTATTTAAATGTTAAATGGTAGGTATTTAATTATTTTAGACTTATAAATTTATGTATGTTTATAAAATATTTTGTTTTTTAATACGTAAACCAGTCAAACATACTTAACAACACAAAACAAAGTTCGGAGCAAAAATACTATCATAAGATTTTTATTTTTATTTTAAAAATAATATCAACCTAAGTAACACGTTGGAAGTTAAAAATACACACATAAAACCATGAAAGTCAGTTTGAAAGTTTAAGTCATATCGAAGTTAAAAATACACAGATTTGGAAGTTACATTGAAATACACACATTTGGAAGTTACATTGTTAATGGCTTGAATAGTTACCTTTTATTTAATAAGATATATACGTTGTAGTTTATAAATAATTGATTGTTCATTTATGTACCATTACATTCACACTTATTCAAACAATTGCATACACACTGAGGTATAAAAAAAGAATGGAGTATCAAAGTCCGTGTGATGCGATGTTACGATATCGAAATACCATTGGGAATTGATATTCCACGACTCCGAGGTGATTCTTTTTCTTTTAAGACATTTTTATTTACAGAATTTAGTTATTATACAAATGCTATTCAATTTTGTTTCCTAATATTTGTGTTTTTAACGTTTTACAGTGATATAGCCTCAATAAAAAAAATTCACGTAAATTTGTTCAAACAATTGCATACACACTGAGGTATAAAAAACAGAATGGAGTATCAAAGTCCGTGTGATGCGATGTTACGATATCGAAATACCGTTGGGAATTGATATTCCACGACTCCGAGGTGATTTTTTTCTTTTAAGACATTTTTCTTTTTTTTTTTTATAAAATTTAGTTATTATACATATGCTATTCAATTTTATTTCCTAATATTTGTGTTTTTAACGTTTTACAGGGATATAGCCTCAATAAAAAAAATCATGGTTCATTACAGACGGTAGAGTCATTGGTTTCCACATTATATTGTAGCACCAAATGGCGGTAGATATAGAACTACTATGGCAAGATTCAAAATAAATTTTATGGTGAAACTACTATGGTAATTATATCTTATGCATATAAAAAATAAAATATATATTTTAGTTATTGAGGATTAATTTATATGAATGTTATACTTGAAGAACTTTGTATTTACAACTCTGTATTAAAGCACGACCAACTTTATGTCGTTGTTTCATGAGTTACAAATGGGAAAAAATTGAAAATATTAAATTCTCTTTTATGATTTTTTTTCGTAGTTTCCGTGCATTTGCACGGGCAACTGTACTAGTTAGTTTAGTATCGTAACCACCATCTTCCCTTCCATATATATACAATACATACATATATTGTTATTAAATTAAATACCACAATCTACCCAATAAAAAGAGTCATTAAGTGCATGCTTGTATATAAGTTTTTCAAAAAAATAAAAATAAAAAATAAAAATAAAAATCTCAACTCAAATCTAACACAATTTTAACTCAATCACAATATCTCTAATATTATCAATATAATTTAAATAATATCAATCATTCATCCTTATATATTACATCACTTTAATTCATCATTCAATTACTCAAAAAATATTAACTAACTATCCATCACTTTCATTCATTTTTCTTTTATTTTTACATCAAATCAACTTTAATTATTTTATTTTAATTATATACAAACTCAAAATTTCACTCAAATTTAATTCAACAACTTTTTCAAAATTAATCATAATTAAAAAAAAATCAGACCCAACAAACTTTTAACTACTCATTAAGTGAACACACTCATTTTAGCTAACCAGCTGCTTTTACAGGCGTGGAGGTCCCTTTCCCCATTAATGCTTATTCATACAATCATATCCTTTCATCAATCATCACAAACTATCACGTGATCACTTATCCAACTATTAGTCATATTTTATGAACAAAACCAAAAAATTCTAACATAAAATGCTCTTTAATTCACTGTCATTCTAGTATATTTGTTAACAAAATTACGAATGCATTAACTGTTGTGTTTGACTGCCACACCACACTTCACCAAACCCTTTAATAAACCTTCATCCTCCGCTCACCAACCATATATAAATGCCGATTCTCCCACCCCCACCACACTCAACGTAAACACATATATAATCCCCCCAGACACACATACACACATCACCCCAGACACGTGTAACTCTGTCATTCGATGGAGGAGCTGAAGCCTAGCCCACCCAATTCCTCCCCTCTCACCCCTCTCACCTTCCTCGAACGCGCCGCCCTCGTCCAGGGCGACCAACCTTCCCTCCTCCACGGCTCCTCCGTCTCCACGTGGTCCGAAACCCATTCCCGCTGCCTCCGCGCCGCCTCTTCTCTCTCCTCCCTCCCCTTCCCCC